ATATTGGTGCACTTTAAGTATTTATTTATTTATTTATTTATTTATTTATTTATTTATTTATTAGTCAATTTATATATTTCCGCTTTTATTTTTAATTATGTCAGTTTCGGTCCTCCGTACTGCAGAAGCCTGATAATCAGCCATTCATTCAAATCAGGTGTGTTTGAGCAGAGAAAAAAATAAAACATGCAGGGCTGCGGCCCTCGAGGACCAGGATTGCCCACCCCTGATCAATGCGGTCCCACGGCCCTCTGAGGGCCAAAGTTAAAAACTGTTGTTCTTTTGAGGCCCTCAAGGTGGCGCTGGAGGCCCATGGGTTAAGAATYTCTGTTATAGAGGATATATAGATAAGAGTACAGGAAGGTACCTGTTTTTATCATTATGAAGGTCAGGTACACGCCTAGGCCATTTTGGATACTACCCAGATTTAATTATCGCTCTCATTTCATAATCGTTGCAGTTTTTTTTATTATCCATAAACCTAAAATAAAAACTGATGCAAGATTACAATAATCTGCTGTAATAAGGTGCTGGTTAATTCATACCTTTTCAGATTTGTTTACCTCCTGCTGTTATGTTTTTATTAGAGTCACATACAGCATATAATGTGTTTCATTAAAGCTTAAATAAATATAATTCAGTGTTGTAATTCCTGATTATATTTTTTAAAAGCCGTATATCTTTTGTTTTTTCTGGATTATTATAGGCCAGATTTTTTTTTAAATGTACTCTAGTTGATTAAATCAACAACAACAAAGGGGCTGGGACAAAGTGAGCTGAAATGAGGATGAAAACATGAAAAATGTCCAAAGTCAGTCTAATAAATGAGTTATAATCTGTCAAAGTTGTTGAAGATTTTGCTGCCAGAGCGGTTCAAGGAAAAACAAAACTTGTATGAAGTCGCAGTATTTTGTTTTTGTGTATCTGTTCAAGGCAGGAATGAGGAAGAGTACATACCCTTCATAACATAAGTTACTGAAAACTGTCACCACAAGAGGGCAGCTCGACGCCTCTCATGTTCTGAATGTATTAATTAAAACATGGCCACAGGTTTTTTTCTTTTTCAGCTGGTCAGAAAAACATGTTTAGCATCTTGATTTTTGAGACACTGGGACAGTGGCAGGTCTCCCCTCTGACTGGACCGGTCCAACTGGTCCTGCTGGTGTCAGCAGCGTTCTTCCACAGAGACGTCAGAGGATGTAGTCATGATGAAACTATGAGAGGATTGTTTTGTAGAGACTCTGATAAAATGGTTGAACTTGTAACAAACTGTTGCCTCACCAGAAGCTCATAATTCAATTTAAAATTAATTAATTAAAAGCAGAAGTGACTGGTGTCTGAAAGTCTGACACTTTTTGTTTTCTCCTCTTCAGCGTCACCAAAGGTCCAGGTGTACAGCCGCAACCCGGGAGAGTTCGGGAAGCCCAACGTCCTGATCTGCCACGTCAGCGGCTTCCACCCGCCAGAAATCCGCATCGACCTGCTGAGGAACAAAGAGGAGATCCCCGGGTCCGAGCAGACGGACTTGGCCTTCGAGGAGAACTGGCACTACCACCTGACCAAACACGTGCCCTTCACTCCGAAGGAAGGGGACAAGTTCCTGTGCCGGGTGACCCACATGGGCAACACCAACACATTCGAGTGGGGTACGTGTTCAGTCCTCCTCCTTCACACAAAAAAAACTGACCCTTTAGCCCACAGAACAAAACTTACCATATTTTTCGGACTATAAGCCGCACCGGACTATAAGCCGCACCCCCCACCCCCCATCAGTAAAAACAAAAACAAAACGGTACACCCAAAATTGTGGTCAAGAAAGTGAATTCAACATCACATTTATTTTTAATAAAAAGGTTGGCAAGTTCACCGGTACAAAATAATAATAAT